CAACAAAATTGTTCAACCGCCCACACTAAGTTAGAATGTTGGTGATATGCAACAGAAAATTGAATTAAATCTATTTGATGACAATAGTGTAGTTCTATACCCGGGTGAAAGTTTGGTCAAGAGCTGGTGGCTGTGTTTGGACTTGTTCAAACTTGTATATTTTTATTGGCTTTACATTAGCAACAATCCCGACTTGAACCCACATTGCCACGAGTGACGGAGTGACAACGCAGGCGCCAACTTAGCTATCGGGGCAGACAAATTCCGCCATCGATTTAGACGTCAGTGTCTGGATACCATCAAGTGTTTGATTCAAAGCATTCACGTCATCGCACTGTGGTATGTTCTATTGCATAAACTTTCATTATGTTAAAGTAAAGCTCCTTTGACCGCGCGCAACGCATGGCTCGTGTCTTATCGACAGTTACTTCGAGACACCCCAGCATTGAAGAGGCCTTGCAGTATGTCTAGCAATGATAAATATTGTAACGTTTGAACGACTGTCAGTCGTATTACGATGCAGGAGATATATCTGTCTTGGCACACGACGGCGCGCACTGGCACGATACAAAACAGACTGCGCGCGGCACAACCATGGCGGCGAAGACACAACTGCCCCCAGGCCTGGCACTTGTGTCACCCTCGACGGGCCGCATCGGGACGAATAGACCACGGACACAACTGCCCCCAGGCCTGGCACTGTATCCTCGCGACGGGCCGCATCGGGACGAATAGACCACGGACACAACTGCTCCCAGATCTTGCGACACGTTGTCACACTTCAGTGCCCTATAATATGATGAAGAAACCCCATTTTATGTATCGATTCCAACAAGGTGTCAAAACCTCAAATGACGCGCAACCCAGCCAGGCTACAGTTGATGTCAGGAATGTCATGCACAGGCCACGTTGATAACGATCTGTATGCCAACCGAAAATGACAGCAGTGCCCCATATGCAGTGGTATCCTTATGTACGACCTGTTGTTCACCTGGTTTATAATACATAATGTAAAGACAAGTGTGTCCTGATTTCATCCGCTCATAACATAAAAGTGGCAAGTCACGATAACAAATATATTCACGCAGAAATTCACCGAACCATGGATATTTGTATCATGTATCTTAAACACTTCGTCACCACTTAGGGAACTCTTTAGAGCAGGAATTCCAGGTGAGCCCCCCCCCCCTCCCCTTTCGTAGGAGGCAGAGGTCTGTGCGCCTTGCCCGCTCACGGACAGCCTTTGCGCTCTTGTTAGCTGTGACTGTGCCTGCCTGCTGGCTGGTACCCTTTTTAGATCACCGTGGCTCTGAGGGCTCTTCCTGTGGACCCGGCATTTCGGTAACCACCATATAATAGAGGTAACCACCACATAACCACCATATAATATATAATATGGAGGGATCAGACCCAGAGGGTGAGCCGACTATGGTTTGCCAGTCCTGCAGCTGGTGCGAGCTGCAAAAAAGTCCTCCAGCAATGTCAAGCCTGCCTTCGGCCTGTGAGGATTCACCCTATCATGCTGGCACCTCATGTTCTCCACTTTACCCGGATCCCAGCTGTCTCCAGAAGCGCTCCAGCATGTCGATTGGCCGTGGCCGTGTGGCCGTCTCGACACTGGAAGAGAGGAGCGCAATGTGGCCGCTCGAACTCATGGAGCATCAGGCCGTGTGGCCGTCTGGACACTGGAAGAGAGGAGCGCAATGGGGCCGCTCGAACTCATGGAGCATCAGGCCGTGTGGCCGTCTTGACACTGGAAGAGAGGAGCGCAATGCGGCCGCTCGAACTCATGGAGCATCAGGCCGTGTGGCCGTCTGGACACTGGAGGAGAGGAGCGCAATGGGGCCGCTCGAACTCATGGAGCATCAGGCTGTGTGGCCGTCTGGACACTGGAGGAGAGAAGCGCAATGGGGCCGCTCGAACTCATGGAGCATCAGGCCGTGTGGCCGTCTGGACACTGGAAGAGAGGAGCGCAATGGGGCCGCTCGAACTCATGGAGCATCACGCTGTTACCTTCGGGCTGTGCAGCGGGCTCTCCAGCAGCTCTGTCTGCCAGCTCCGAGGCCCAAAGCCGGCAGTTGTGTATTAACTGCTCCTTCAGGTGAAGGTGGTATCGTCGCTGAACTGGATGTGGTTACAAAAGGATTAGCTTCTTCCTCGGTCTTCAGTCAGCTGCCAAATGTCATCCACTGTTCATTAGTGGCTTCTGTCAGCTTTTACTGGGTAGTCGCCTTGAAGGAAATGCTCGTTTTTGGTTGTGTGACTGGTGTCAACTTCCTGAGCGATCTTCAAGATGACTTTTGATGGGTTGGTCATCCTGACTTGACTTGTTTAACCCTATCTCCCGTTTTTTTTGCGTTAGTTCCTAAATAATTTTAGGGGCACCTTCCCAAGGTACCTTCATTGCATTTCTACCCAGTACAGACCTGTCTTTCAGAATTTTTCTTGCAGGCGCAGACGTAGTTTTGTGCAGGTGGTGCTTTTGCGATCTTGGATCTTGTTGACTAATGTAACTCGGCATCTTTGCTTTTTGCCCCGCGCTGAGCAACGCATGATGCTAAGCGGGTCTGGGCCACGTAAAAAGCTCCAGGGCACGTGCTATCTAGGGCCTTGGTGCTATCCAACAAAATGAAAATGCACGTGCGTATGCGGTTTTAGTTTCCATCATGTGCATATAAAATCGGACATGAACTTTCCACCCGTATGTATAACAATAGTTTTTTATCTAGTCCCGTATTTCCCGAAGGGATTAGCATAAAACGGAAAGTCGTATGGGCCCTCGGATCCAGAAAGTCACGATCTCTTATATATATATATTTTTTTTGGGGGGGGGGTATTGGAGGTGCTCCGCATGTAAGATATGTGGTTCTCTGGGCTTGGCTGGCCATGACTTCACCACTATAGTGTAAAGCCTAAAGTTAACCAATACATCGATACACAATACGGGGCAGAGTAAAAATTGACCAGAAATGCTGATTATGCGTTATGCTTTCAAGCTATCAGCCTTCAATGTGGGGAAGGGTAGGGTGTCATTAACATAAGAGTTTTAGATAGCATTATGCATGTGAACATACGCCTTCTCGGTAGGATTAGTGGATAATTTTATAGGCTCACAAGGGCCTTGTCATCCTGATCGCAACCTTCAAGGCTCCACGAGAACAAGGTGGAATTGAACACTAGCTCCTGTGTGCTCTCCAGCTCATATGTTTGAGAAAATATTTCACTACCAAGTGGTGTCGCCTGTAAGACTTCTCATGTTATGCTCGAGCCTTTTCACATAATCTCTTCTGGTCAACATTTCAGGTCAGTTGAACCAATGCAAGTCGCTAGCCCGAAATCTGCGTGCAGCTTCTGGTGCTTCCAAGAGCGATGCCGGCGAGGTCATATGGTGTCTTTCGACGTTCAAGCTCTGTCTATCGTTCCTCTAACCTGGCAGTCGACCCCATGTACGCTCTGCACCGTCACCGGCAGAGCTGGAGGAAGGCCTGACCACCCGTGACCGGCAGGCGTGGAGGAAAACGGTGCTGGGCGCCGTCGACTCACCCGCGGCCCGCTTCTTCGGAGCCGCTGAGCGCGCCGTGCTTGAGGACCGCACCTTCGGCGACTGGATCACGTGCGACCAAGCAGCCGCCGCCATGCTAATCCGGCCCGAGATCGTGCTCAAACAGTCGACGCACCACGTGAGTTGGCAGCAGCCCAGACAGGGACTCTACGGAGAGAGAGGCTGGGGACAAGGCAGACGTTTTTGTAGACTCGTGTCGCAGTTAATGCGTTGTCGGAAGGGAAGCCCAGATCTACGCACCGCAACGGCGTGCGCAAAGGAACGCCACGGAATCAGACACCTTCGAACGCGGTGGGTGATAGGGTGAAGGAAACGCTTCAGATATACCTAATCGAAAGAATCGGCGGAGTTCATGTCGCGTTGTTCCCATCTATATTCTGGAATACACCGCACATCACCAGCAACGCATTCCAGCGGATATATTTTTTAGCATTATCCCGCATTTAAATGATTGTGCCGCAGCCACGCATCAGGGATGACATCACATGACGGCAATCACGCTGCGGAGAGGAGAAGCAGCGCGCATGCGAGCGCGCATGTTTGAAACTACGTAACATAATTTGCGTCAATAATCAAGTCTGACTGAATGCTGATCTTTTTTAAAAAAACAAAACATGGGCTGGACATGTTAATACAAATGGCTCACTCATTTTGATCTACCTACAATCAATAATGGCGGGATCTCTAATATATCTGAAGAACACGGGTACGAATTTTGACGAAGCTTGTGAGCTCTGTCGGCTTGGAGAGAGTCCACTGGACCATTTGAAAAATGGAGAGCTCCGGCGATTTCCTCCATTCAGTCGTTTAACGAGCGATTCCTTCGGTTTAATAACTACAAAATTCGGGCAGAGTTTTTTTCGCGGTAGCTTTAGGCTTCCATTCCAATTACAGAGGGAACAAGTTTAAAAAATATGTTTATAAAAGAAATGCACGCTCGCATTTGAACAGTGGGCTACGTCTCACGTTTTTTTAGGGGGGATTTTCACTAGCAGGGGCCTTTTCAACCCTGTCCCCTTCACCCTTCTTTGCCAAAGCTCTGGTTGCGCGCCTGCTGCGGCGTACCACACATTATAGCTTTATGCTCCGTTACATCACATGCCGTGTAATCATCACACTTGTAGTACAGCATCGAGCAGGCAAGACGTCCCAGAGCCCGAAACCGTTCCAGGAGCCACTGATGAGCTACCAAACACAGAGCGTTCCTCTCGCGGAGCAGGAGAACTTTGCCGTTTGAAGGGGGGGGGGGGGGGGAAATGTCGTTGAACTAGCGGTAATAAACATACTGTCAGGAATGATCACGGGACGGGGGCCAACGCCATCGCACTTTGCGCTCGTCGAACTGTCACCTCATGGCAGCAGAGGTGACAGCATGTGACATTTGTAACGGTATGGCCTCTTGCCCTTTTGTCACTACGCCGCTAACGTGCAGAAATAAAGACCTTTGACGTGACTCATGCATTATCCTGTAGCGCCGAAAATCGTATTGCCTGTTATATCACATCCAGTGAGGCCGATGCATCTGTGAAGGTGTATCGCGTGGCATGTTTTGTGGTTTCTAACAATATCACGAGACCTTTAGAAACTTTTATAAGCGTGTCCACACTGGTTCGCATCGGGCTAATGTCACGGTATGAAAACCGAGTTTGTGAGCTCAGCGTAGACCAGGCAAAGTGTCTGCACATTATTCGAAGTCGTTGATCGACTATGAAGGGCTTGTGTGTCCGTCGTTTGTCACTGTGCTTCACGGAAGGAACGGAAGGCGGTCACGGAAGGCTTGTCCGTCGTTTGTCACTGTGCTACGGCGGTCACGGAAGGCTTGTCCGTCGTTTGTCACTGTGCTACGGCGGTCACGGAAGGCTTGTCCGTCGTAGCACGGTGGCAAGCGGAGTAGTTGTCCGTACGTAGCGCGGACAACTACTCCGCTTGATGGAGTAGTTTTCCGCGCTATTGACCTCGTTTAAGCCGGACGAGCATACGATAGTCAGGCAGATGATTCCATTCCTAATACTGATACCTGGACTCGTCTACTTCTCTAAACTGCCACGGTGCCGGGCACAATGACATGTGAGTTTCTGGACAGATTTAGACGGGTTGCTACGTCTCCAGGCTTACTTTGAGTCATCATTGCGTGGCATGCCGCCATCGTAATGTATTGTATTGCACTTTATCAAGTCGTTCCGCATTATTAGGCCTTTCTTAGACCTTCGTCAAAAGGTGCATCGACAGTCACAAGGCGACAAGCATGACACGACACGAGGAGACATACACGAGGTTAAAAATGGCAGTTGCTTTGAATAGTGTCATGGAAACAGGACTTAAAAGAAGAAGATAAGCCCGCGATGTCATTGGTGATGACTCGCTCGTTGTAGATAGGCGCAGCTTGGTAGGCATATGCTCGCTTTCCAAGTTTGTTCTTTGGGGCGAGAAAGAGATACATGACTAGATTGGCGCGTACTGCGTTCGGTCTTTTCTTGTTGTAGGATAGCTGAGAACGTAAAATCTATGGCTCCCCGTTTGTCAATACTTTGTGTACGAGGCATATATCGAAGAAGTCGATAAACGTTTGGCCACTAAGCCAGTCAAACCATCGTGGAACATCCGACACACGGTCAAATCTGTGTCGTCCGGGGACACCCTGGCTGCGAAGTTAAAGACTTTCTGCAATTTCACAACAGCTGTGCAGTTCCCGCCCCCATGAACTTGAGCGCGGTAACGCACATGGGAGAACACGAGCGGGTGAATGACGCGTAGCAGAACATTGGCAGATAACAGGTGGCAGGCAAGGTTTTGTCATGCCGAACGGCAGACTGTTTCAGATGTGGCCCGGTGAGTGTGAGTCATGTACTCCCGTATCCAGTTTACTACGTCAGTTTGTGAGAAGCAGTGCGAGTCATGTGAGCCATGCGCTTTCCCCCGACGGGTTACCTTTTGGAGTCCAGTTGAGTACGAGTGCATGTAGTCTTTGTCGTCTGGTACACCACTTTTAAGGTTTTGGTTGCGTACCTGGTCTTCTAGGCTGTGTGCGAGGGTCGAGCAGTCATCTACGAGGGTGACATTGTGTACACATTTATGCAAACAGCAGGCGGCTGGGCTGCTGTGAATGTATTGCTCTTTACGCACGGCCGTCGAGCAGGTCACGGCAGCTGTACCGTTGAGGAAGAAAAAGTGCGTTGCCGTCTGGTAGGGGGACGCTGGAGGTGTTGCTGTGATTGTAGACTGCATTGCCGCGACCATCGCTTCAGTGACCTCAGGTCGCAGGTGAACTGCTTACGTCTGCGCCGCAGGCCACGGTGGAGCTGCATGGGAAGTTCACTCGCGGCCAGATGGTGGTGGACCGGCGCAGCTGGAGCGAGCCCACTCTTGGCAGGAACGTCACTGTAATCGAGGCTCTCGACCTCGAGCTCTACAAGAAGATGCTGCTCGACGCGTTCGGCCATCCGGGGGTCGTGTTCTGAGGCACGCCGCCGCCGCCGCCGCCGCCGCCGCCGCCGATTTTATTTGTTCTCACTTATGAGAACAAATAAAATGCCGCACATTCCCCCTTTGTAGCGAGCTGGAGTCAACCCGCAGTGATCGAAGCTGCATTGCTGCCCATGTTAACGATCCGCAGCGGTCAAGTTAAGCCTTGTGTTCGGCAAAAGACGCTTAGGTGACGCTTGTGATCGTTATCGCACATTCGTTGTCATGTTGGGGAGATAATGCGTGAAATGAAACTAGTGCATCTCAATATATTCTGATTATTCAGTTACGTAGAACTGGCACTCTGACAACATACGGTGTTATTATTTGACTATAAACAAACATTTTGGATGAACTTAGATTTTGGAATGTAATGCATTTAATACCATGGAAGCGGTTTTGTGAGGTTGATTCAACATAGCATCCAAAGACCAACAGGAAATGAGATTAAACTGACGCACAGTGTGCACATGCCACAGTTAGACGTCATCAGAATGACAGCCGAACATCATGCTCTGCCACCATCAATCGCATGAATTTCACGGTGCTTCAATCGAGCGCAAATGAAGCCGTACCAGTTCTCCTCCCTGTTTACGGAAGCAGAGGCCTCCGTCACCACCCTCACCGAGCTGTCTCCAGCTTGTGTGAGAACGGGATGCGGTCTCATCTCAGCGGCTGGTGGGCTATGCGCCTGATAGCCCCTTCGACACGCTCCTGTTCAGCAGCACCTCCGCGATCTCTTCTCGCGCCAAGTGGATCACCTCCTCGTAGCGAACAGCTTGGAAGTTGACTTGCAGCAAAGCCAGGACTGACGGGCTTCCTCCTGATCTTCTTCACGTGCCTTCGGTTGTCAACATGTGTGTGAGCCAGCTCGTTCACGAATATGTCTCGAATATGGCTCGCTCGAATACGGCTCGCTGTCGTTCTCGAATATGGCTCGCTGTCAGCAGCCATCGCTGCATTAGGCTCTGTGCGGTACCAGTAAGCATTTGTTTGCATTCCCGCATTTCCTTCAACAGCGAGTGCTGCTGACCGTCGTGTAAGGTCTAGTCATCTCGTGCGTGATATATCGCATTTCAGCATTATGGCCAGGGATCAGCTGTTAACGAAACCAGACTACTGAAAGTAATAAACTTCGTCACCAGAGTAGTTACTGGCCTCCGGAAGCATGACTACGTGTCTCGCGCGCGGAATGACTTGCACTTTGTTACGCCTCACCAAATGTGTGGAATGCAAACTGCTTTTGCTGGGCACAGAGCCCGTAAGCGAGGTGCGCCTGCAGATCTTGCCTGCTTGTTTCAATTGCAGATTCTTGCAGATTATTGCCTGTTTGCTGCTCGCCGACGCGCAGGTTAGTGACCGATCCACCCGCATGGACCAAAACCTGCGCCTCCCGGCGGTGCGTGAGGCGGCAGGACAGCGGTCCTTAGCGTAACCGAGCGGCCTGTCTCATTAACCAGCCGCGGGAAGATATAAGACAAGTGGCTTCGACAAATTGCAAGCGCCCTGCCCAGCCATTTTTGTACGATATTATTGTATAACATTGTTTTTGTATGCATGCGCTTTTATGAAGCATGTTTTTGTTTGCATGCATGTTTTTATCTAATTCCAGTTCCCATTGTTTTCGACATATTTTTATGTCTTCGAGACCAATGACACGCATTAGTCATGTTATTATGAGGAGTGTCAGCTGACGTCGAATACGACTGAGGCTTGAGGTTGAGCACCAGTTCCACCGCTGCGTCTGTCGTTTCGACTGCCTTCAAAATGCATTTTGGAGTATTGTTGTTGTTTGTTGTGTTGTGGATGTTTTCGCGGCCATCGCCACTACAGCCACAGCGCAGGACTCGTCTGCGTGCTCCATTCACTGCCCTTCTGAGAACTAGCTGGTCAGCTTGGGAAAGATAACGTTTCGAAGAATGCACCGCCATGCTGCACGCGCTGCGTGGGAGCAGTATGCTCCACCTTCCCACCAGGGAGGCCCGAAGGCGATCCCGATAGTACCGAGAACCATTGATACGGTAGAACATGTTTTGTTGTTATGCCTGTCATGAACGCTGCTGTGCCGTGCTGAGACGCATATGCACGACTGTCAGGTGGTTGGTAAGACTCGGACCATGTAGGAGAATGCGGCTGAGCACTGCTCCCGATCTTCCACGCACAGTCAAATGCGCATTCAATGCAGTTAGTCATCGCGGGTACGCATCATTCGTATTTTCAGCACGCATGCATAACACTGTCCCTCAGGCTTCATGCAGCCGTGTATGCAACCAGGGCCGTATTAGGGGGGGGGGGGGGCTGAACAGTGAAATATGGCCTAACCTAGCCTCGAATATGCCAACAACCGGTTTCCCTTTTCTCTCTTCCCCTTACAGATTTCAAACTTTCTTCCCCGAGGTTGGGGGAGGGGGGGGGGGGGGGGGGCTGAGCCAAGCCCAAGCTGAAGACACAACTGAATAGGAAACTGCATCCCTGTCTGCAATGTTGTGTGCGGTGATATGGGCCTATTCGGAACCTGAATATTCATCTTAACGGTCGAAGATTGTCCCCACCCAACTTGAGCCGAGCTATTTCTGGGCTTATGATGGATACTTTCCAAACCTAAGAGGCCTTACCTATTATAAGCCTCCTCCTTGCTTAAAATCGACGCTATCCAGACCGACAAGCGCCTTGCTGAGTTGACGACGGCCCTTTCTTGATCACACAGGTGGGCTTCTTCGAGTCTGTGACAGTCCCTTTCCGGAGAAGAAATGAGCCCTTTCCGTGCCTGAAACTAACAAAAGCGATTTTCTGTCTTGAAATAAGTCCTTTCCAACCGGATGTGGGCTTTCGCCGCTCACTATGGGTAACGCGATGAATAAGTACTTCAGACCACCTGAAATTAGGGGGTGAGCAAAAGGAAGGCTTTGCTCCCCCACAAAAGATGAGGCGGTATTTTGCCCCCGACTCCCCCCCCCCCCCCCCCATGTACGCCGCTACTGGTCCGAAGGGACCTAAGGGGAGGCAGTGCTTATCCCCGTGCTCTCTGCCAGCGCCTTTGGACTGCGGCTTTTTTGGTTTTGGCTGGATTTTATTTTTTCGGTCCTTTCGTTTGCCTGCCGACAACCGAGAAGAATGTTTGCTCGGTGGAGCATTTCAGACATGGGTGTCGATTTCTCAAAATGATGGGGGGGCCAGAGTCTTGGAGTCCGCCATAGGGAGACAGGTACAGTAAATTTATCGGATATAGTTCACTTCTGTATATACATATATATATATATATATATATATATATATAATGTGGGTGTGGGAAGGACGTATGCGTCTGCGTGTATATGCGCGTGTGTATGTGCGTGTTGCGTGTGTGTGTGTGTGTGTGTGTGTGTGTGTGTGTGTGTGTGTGTGTGTGTGTGTGTGTGTGTGTGTGTGTGTGTGTGTGTGTGTGTGTGTGTGTGTGTGTGTGTGTGTGTGTGTGTGTGTGTGTGTGTGTGTGTGTGTTGTGTTGTGTGTGTGTGTGTGTGTGTGTGTATGTGATGTAAGTACGCTTACCACACTTTTTTAGCTCACGTACGTATCACAGCAATCGCATATTGAAGCCTGGCAGTTTGAATCAGTTTCGTATAAACACAGTGGTTTTGTGAAGTTGATAGGGTGCAGTTGCATCTCTCTCTTGCGAACTGAAAAGCAAATATGCGTATAATTTACCATCCTGCGCGTATGTAATCTTTTGGTGTATAATATATATGTATTGACAAGAATAGTGTCAGTAATATATCTGACATTGCATCTTGTTTGCATGAAGCTTCTCGATATTCCAAAAAATCATCGATAAGCCATATACTCTTCAGTTCATATAAAACAAACCATAACCACTCCTCCATGCATCATTTCAGAAAATACTTTTCAACCTTTCCCCAAAACGATCAGGCACATGCCCTCCTTTCCATAATGTCTTTCCCCGTTCACTTCATCAAACACGCACGGCTAGCCAGCTGTAGTTCAGGTATACACTGTTTGAGGCTGTTGTGCCAGTGAGAGGAAAGCATCTCCAACCCGCTTCAGTTCGGATGTATGGTAAGTGAAACGACCATAATGCCAATGTCACGCGCAAGCGAGGTTGATTGTGAAAGTATTGCTAGTTAAGCCGGCTCTCCAGTGACCATGTCCATCTGGGAGGTTCAAAATTGGTTCCGAACCGATGACTGGAACAATCATATAACAAAGCTTCGACCACGCGAGCTCTCCAACCTTGGAACAAAACCCCCTGCCGTTGCAGCCTCCGTAGGCCACGCGGCATCGGCCGCCTTGCATGTATTAATTAGGCGGTGGCCGGTGAACGGACGAAGACAGTACCGCTTCTGAAACAGGCGCCTTTGAACGCCTTAGAATATCAATTATTGCATTCAGAAGGTAGACCGAGAGCATGCTTCACCTGTGTAATTTATATGTTTGTACTAGGGACGGATTAGCACTAAAGCATTACCAACCGGTGACGAAATTTTGTGGTGGAACTAGACAAGTAAACATAGAATCCCTCTTTTACTGTTTGTTGCTGACGCTTTTTGTCTGTTCAGAGGACATCCCCAACATTTAATTGTGAAATCTACTCGCCAGTATAACTTTTGAACGAGGCGAATTCATTTTGAAAGACTTTCGGGGGCATGATTCCACGACGTTTGTTCTCGCGCGTTGGACGGCCGCAGCCCGGTGTTGGCCCGCTGACGCCGTTCGGTTGGTGGAAACTGCAACCACGGCCATCAGTGATCTTGCTTCCAAGACTGCGAGTACATGGGCTCAAAGTTTTTTCATGCAATTTGTTTCAAATGTTACTCCGGATCAATGATGGACGCAGGGGCGTCACTTTCCAACATGGGATCGGGGAGGGAGCTGAACCAATGAAGCTGGCCTAACTTACGCTCAAAATCCTGATTTCTCCTTGGATTTCGCCAAGTTTGATCTGCGTCCATGATGTTAAAATTGAACTCAGAATAAATATTTGGTTGGTTCCGAAATTGTT